AGTACATATATATATACATACATATTTATATATGCACCATATATATATATTATATATATGCACCATATATATATATATATATATATATATATATATATGCACCATATATATATATATATATATATATATATATATATGTTTATTAATGTACTTAACTCCACATGCTGGATACAACAGAAAGATATGAATACACACACATTATAGCCTGAAACTGATTGGGATGTGAAGGAAATTTCCAAAGACTTCTCAAGAGGATGTTCTGTGTTGCCTAGAATCCAACTCTGAATCACTCCTACAAAGCACTGTTAAAATGTGTCGAGGGGGCTTTGGGAGCAAAAAAATGAAGTGTTGCCTTTCCAATGTCCTCCTCCTGATGGCATCTTTGGATGGGTTATCAGTTATCAATGACCCTAACAATTTAACTTTTCATTATCTGGATCTGTTGAGGAGACAGGCAATCCATAATTTTGAGAGGGAAAGGAAGTGAGCTGATCAACTTGCATCAGAAAAACTCCCTCTGTCTACAAAAGAAGAACCCAAACTAAATGTATCTTATAAACATGTTTAAATGTAGACTATACAGACTACTACACACAAATGGCAGAAATGTAAAATCTCTTTAGAAATTAAGATTTATCCAGTAGGTGAGTACTTGAATCAGAAGAGGAGTCAAAATCACTGATATCAAAGTCACTGATATCAGGTGATAACACAATAAGGTATCTCATCACCTCCATCCTCATCTAACCATCTGTTAGAGGTTTCATCATCATCTTTTGAAGATAGTGTTGGAAGAAAGCTCAACGGGTTCTTTGTGGGACCGGTAGAGGAATTACCTGGTCCGGGAGAAAGACATGTATTAGAAACTTTCATTTCCAACAAGTCTTTGAAATATGGTTCATCTTCAATTTCTTTTAATGTTTGTTCTGAATTTGAAGCTTTCTTTGCATTACTAAATGGATTACTGCCACTGTTCTTTGGACGTCCTTTATTTTTAGCCAAATCTACAGATTCACCTGTGCTCTCTTTGAGAACAGGCTGCTCAATAGGTGAACCCTCTCTCTTCAGTTTGGGCAGGTGGGCATTGCCACCTCTCCTCAAAAAGCACATGTCGGGCTCATATACTTGTATAAAATGATCCTAACAAGATTAGCTAAGCTGCTCTCTAACCTCTAACCCCCCCTCATCCTCTCCCCTATCCTAACCCCATTATCTAGCTCCAGGCCACAATGTTAAGTATTACTTTAAATTTAATCTATTTCTTTTCTTCACTTAGTTTCACTTCTAACCTATTGCTGAACAAGGTTCTACTGTTGTTCCCCCCCCCAAATAAAAAAACCAAAACATAAACAAGGAAACAGTTACTGACCAGGGCCCAAAACTGAGGTACTTCGGGATGGAGTTGGTATCACCTGTGAATCGGTACAGGTGCTTATTAATGTTTACATGTACTTTGTGACTATAAGGAGAATACCACTGTTATAAAGATACTATGCCCCTCCCTCCCCATGCCCCCTTATCAAGTTAATTCCCATGATAAAGCTAAAACCCATTATTTTCATGAATAAGTAAACTGTTATAACTTTGTTGTAAAGTTCTTTGAATCTCAAGATACATATACATTGTTCTGATTGCTTACAACATGCATCATATTCTACACGAGTTTTGATTAAACTTATTTTTGCATCAATCAAGTAGGGTCCACCTTATAAGAAAGAACCTCAGACTTCAAAAAGATGGCCAAGAAAATATCTGATATGATAATGTCTGAATCTTTTTACAGATGTCAGTGTTAAAATCATGAATTAATTCTACGTGTTAGCAACAGAATTAAAACTGTCAACCCCATCACTGACTGAGCAAAATCAGACATGAAAAGCCCAGAAGAATTATTGGAAGACCTCTAGAAGGTCAAAATAGAACAAACATTATACTTTCATGCCTCTTTTTTTTTGTTTCTGAAGGCGTTCTTAGCTCTCTTTGGCTTAGAAAGCCATGTTGATATTCAAATCTGAAGAGGGTTAGAGGTAAGGTAAAGATGGTTTAAAAATAACGATTTTAAAATGTTGTATTAAAAACTGGCAACCAAGCTAATTACCACCTAATGATGTACATACATAATATCAAATAGCATACACTGGCACATGCCTATACAATTATTAGCTTAAAAATGAGCGCCTGGTTTCCATACTAAAAGAATAATTAATCATACTTGGCTTTTTCTTTCCTTCTAGAATTCAAAGGCATATATCTGATTACCTATTTAATAAAGGAACTCGTGACTATGGCCCTGATGTTGTGAAGAAAGGAGGCAGCCAGGCTTCTTTGCCAAAGATGGGATGTTAACTGAGACTTGAAGAAAGCCAGGGAAGCCAGGAGGTGAAGATGAGAAGGAGGGAGTGGGAGTGTTCCAGGCATTTGGAGGGGGGAAGAGAAGGATGGTTAAGATAAATGCTTAAAAAGTCAAGTGTGTGTCTTCTTTAAGGAACACCAAAGTAAGGAGAACAATCATTTGATGGCAGGGGGTGTGTGTGTGTGTGTGTAGGGAGGTTTGGTAGGAATGGTGCAATTTAAAGACAGGAAAGTTCTTCAACTTATAAGACGTAGGGTTTAAACTAGTTTGTAAGAACGGAAAGGAGAGATCTCTTTGTAGGTCAGGTCAGTAACACAACAAATCACAATCCAAACTGGTAAAGCAAATAATCCCTGCCACCACCAGTCATCACGTGGTAAACAAAGTACTTTCCTGAGCAGCAAAATTTCTCCCTTACATCAGGAAATTATCTTAGTTTGATCGATCTTAAAAGCAAAAGCAACCATGGTGGTATTATGTGAATAAAGGATGAGTTAGCAAAAAAATGATTACTCTTGATTTTAAATTCCACAGCCAACTAGAAAGCACACTCCTATTACTTCGTGGGTGCCCTAGGCTGTCTTTTCCAAAGCCAGGGGGGGCTGCATGCAGAATTGTATCACCTTAGTTGAAAGTGGACCTAATTTTGATCCAACTAAATTCCACTAAAAACAGTGAAGGGCTTCCTCTCTCCCACATGGCAGAAGGATTTCTGACAAGCAGGTGCTCTGGTCTCCTGTCACCAGACAAGAGTTCTCTGGGCCTTGAATTCAATTGAATAAAGGGCAGGGTTTGCTTAGTTAAAGCTGGGCAGTTGCACATAGTCAAGATTTAGGACATGATGTTAATGAACACATGCAAACACTTTTAATTTCCTTTAGGGATATTATAGTAAGGCTTAGAAAATGCATCAAATGTTTCAGTCTTTGCCAACACCAGTGTATGTTTGACACATTTCCAACAAAGGAGGTAAAGTTTCGGCTTAATTTCCCAGTTTAAAAGAAGTATACAGTTTTGTCAAGATTTTTAAAGTCAAAACTTTACAATGTGAAAGAGGATCAACTATGGGGGTGGGGGACGGAGAACAAAGTAAAAAAGAACAAAGCAGAAATAAAAAAGGAGATTTCAAAGAAGGGGCAAAGCTAAGTGCTGGCCCCTCAGCAACATTCCTGTTTTGCTATGACATGTCTTTAGTCACCAAAGTAAGAATACGGATTTTTGGCTCTCACCTTCCAAAATAACAAGTAATTTTGTTTAGCAGGTACCGGAAAGCATGAACACCTGACTTTGTTATAATAACAATATATCCCAAAATATTCATTTTCCGCACTAGAATGAAACCTGAAAAAAAAATTAATTTTACCCATCACTTCACTAGAAACAATTTACAAACAATTAGTTCTACAAAGATTCACACTGGAAAACCCCCTCCCAAAGCCCTCCAATTTCCTTTGTGCAGAGATGTAATAGTCACCAAGCCACCTCGAGTGACAAGGTGGTAGTGGGCTGTCCCCAGCACCCGAGGTTAAATGTCAGAATAGGAAGAACAAGGGGGCAACCAGGCTAGATGGCTCAGTGGACAGAGCTGGGCCTGGGCTCATGATGACTCATCTCCCTGAGTTCAAATCCAACCTCAGAGACACCTGTTTGCCTCAGTTTCCTCATCTGTAAGATGTAGAAGGGAATGGCAAACTACTTTCCACCCAGTATCTCTGCCAAGAGGACCCCCAAAAAGCTCAGGAATACTGCACTGGTCACCACTGAACTCCAAACAAAAGGACAAATGAGGAAGAGCTGTCCAAAGACAACCCCAACAATGATCCCTGACATCTGGGCAGGCAGCCCACCCAAAGCTCAGGGGCTGGTGAATCAGTCCTGAGCCCTGGTCAGTTTCAGGGAGGAGGGTGGGGGTCCTGTGACCCAGGCCATTCCCTAATTAAGGGCACAGTCTGGGGAGACTACTCCCACGGACACCTTCCCAGGAAGAGTGTCAGACTGACCTTTGGCCAGCATACCAGACACACTGATCCTTCCACAATTCAAAACTGATCGACCCTGGGGACCCCTGTTGCTGACCAACCCCCCCCCATTTGAATCCCCTTACCTCACTCTGCTGGTAAGATGGATCTGCTCTAGGGCCTGCCTGGGCTCAAGGAGAGGCCCTCTGTGAAGTCTCACAAGGGGCCGCCAGCAGAGGGCTGACCCCAGCAATCCCGTTGCAGGGGAGTGAGGGATACAGGAAACTATCAATCCGTATTAGAATAATATATTCAAAAGTATTCACTTTCCGCAATAGAATAAAAATCTGAAAGAGAGAATTTTAATTTTACTCATCACTTCAGAAGAAACAATTTACAAACAGTTGTACAAACATTTCCATTCTTCTTTGTGGGAGGGAAAAAGATTCACACCTGGAGGAAGAGCTGTCCAAAGACAACCCCAACAATGATCCCTGACATCTGGGCAGGCAGCCCACCCAAAGCTCAGGGGCTGGTGAATCAGTCCTGAGCCCTGGTCAGTTTCAGGGAGGAGG